GGATATTCCACATACAAATTAGTGACAACACATAGCAAACCTCCTACAAAACTCCTAAAGGCTAAAAACTACAGAAACCTGGAATGTGGTGTTGTGGTTTTTTGTTTGTTTGTTTGTTTGTTTGTTGTTTTGGTGTTGTGTTTTTTTTTGGTTGGTTGGTTGGTTGGTTTGGTTTGTTTTTTTTTGTTTTGGTTTTTTTTTTTTTTTAAACTAACTAAATAAAGAATCATTCACTGCACAGTCATCACCACTTCTTTGCAAGACCTGAAATCCGGGTTAGAAGTCTGAAGTGCATGGCCAAAAGTCAGCCAATGTTAGATTATTGATGCTCACATTTTGCTCCATGACATCAGCTATATGACCTAGAATGGCTCTTATCATAAGGAACAACAAGGACCTCTTGGGATGGCACTAATGCTATTGGCATTTGACCATTTTAAACTGGCAGATACAAGCAGCATGTTTGTTTATTTGACCTCCATTTGCTACAAAGTCTGTTAGCTTTCCAACACTGTTCAGGACTGTGTTAATTTCTCCTTTCTCTGAAGTCACGAAGGAACTCATAGCTGCACCTGCTTCTGTGCAGGTAGTGGAGAGTTACAGGCAGCCTGCCTTCCTTTGGTATTTTGCATCGTTTGTTTGTAGCATGATACAGTTACTTACCCCATCAGCACTGATTTTCCACCTCTTTGTGATTTTGTGCACTCCAAGTAATTTTGGTATCATCTCTCACCTAGCCTTAGTATTTCTGGCACAGTACTTCACCAATTAAATACCCTCCATCACCACAAAACTCACTCAGCTTGTCAGTGCTTATCTGTGTTGAAAAGGGAAAAAGTAAAATACAACACAGGATTGTCTTACATCACAAGCCTACCTCTCCAGTGCACTCAAATCCATGCCATTAAAATGTGCTTTTAACAAGCCAGTGAGTATTGCACCTTTTTCCCCAGCTACAGAGAGCAGGGAGGTGAGGCACTTCTCTGTGTAAAATGGCACACACATTTTGTAGATCTCATGTTCTAATGCTATTAGCTCAAAAGATTGAATTAAATAGAGAAAGGTTAATGAAAGGTTTCAGTCATGATTGCAGTGACCATGATGAAGCAAAGGGGCAAGAGAAATGGCAGCTTTAACAATTAAACTCCCTCAACACATTCCTTTTAACACGACTGCCATAACACAGTGAAATGCCACGGTTAATCAGATCACACTCACTGCTAACACTCTGTGATAAGAAGTTGTTGTGACTTCCCCTGACGGGATGTTCTACAAGATGGTCATGCTCTTCATTAATCCTTAATAGCAGCAGTGTATTTTAGATGCCATACAAATTAGGATCCCTAATTGTTTATAAATATAGGACTTATTTTGTTCACTCTGATATTTTAAAATAGTTTTATAGAAGTAAAACCAACTCCTTATTCCCCTGTAAATCTCCGTTCTATTGCTGCCCACACCTAGCAGCAGACACATTGTGCTATACAGAAGTTTCTGATAACTACTAGAAGTACTTCTCTTACCTCACCAAATGCCAGAAGCAAGCCTGGCACTACAGAGTCAGTTAATACATCTTTTTGCTTCAACTATTTATTTCTCTGCCTCTATTAAATTGTAGGCAAACATCTGAATAGTCGAGCCTCCCACAGGGTCTCATCACATTCTAGGATTGGCCCCTTCTACATATCAATAAAATTCAACTGCAAAATATTTGTAGTGCTAGGATATTTTAGAGGAATAAATGATCCTATAAATGGCCCAATTTTAGCTGTAGTATGTTTTGAAGTCCTTGAGGAGAAAAGGAGACAAAGAAGCCCAGGCTTGCAGAGAGAGTAAGACAATATTGGCCAGCAATAATGGCAAGAGATGTGTATGTATGAGACCCTAGTTCAAGTCACTGTTTCCTCTGTGCCTGTGCCAAGTGAGTGAGATTATCTCTACGCAACAGAGTTAAGAGCACTTAAAACAACAACTCCAGGGTATTTCAAGGTTAAGCAATTAAAAGATTTTGGCACATTTAGGTATTTGATTAACAGGAACACCCCAAAGGAAACTGCAAGTCAACTGAAGAATCAACAAATTAGAAGGAAGAAAAACACTTCTTTTTTTTTCTTTTTTTTTTTTTTTTCTTCTTTTTCTTCACATACTAGATCACAAAATACTGTGGATTACTCACACTTTCTGTCATGTCCCCACAGACTGGTTCTGGACTCTTGAGCAGTGACAGATGTCAGACTGTCTGCTTGTGCAACAGCAAAAGAGACTGGCTTCCCTGCCACGTCAAACTCCAAACAGTCAAAGAAAAAGGTAAATGGACACAAGCCTGTACTGACCATAGAAGAAGCAGTTTTGCCCTCATTCCTGATGTCCAGCTACTGTGTGTCCCAATCTCCTTTGGTGGACCAAAGCAGAGAATTTCTTCATGTTAAACAGAAGCTAGCAAGAAGACATATGAAATAAAAAAGATCTTCCCCAATTTGATTCACTACACATCTGAAAGGTTTCTTTTAGCAATATCATAAAAGTATTCTGAAAATGAAGATAATACGGCGTCATGTGACAAAGAGGAGAAAACGTATTCCCATTAGCATTAGATGGGTCAGTCACGTTTGGGATTGGAGACAGGTAAGTTACATTAAAGCTGTAGTAGATCTAGGTGCAAAGCTTAAACTGCTGGTACTACCATGCTTGTGAGGCTACCTCCCCACAACAGAGATGTGCCATAATATGCTCTTGCTATGAATGCAGGCCCACATTCCCCATTAGCCTAATAACACTTCAGGCTGTGAAATATGGCAGCTGAGAGGGATATGTCCCAACACTGGAGCAGGGGCCTTTAAAAGAGGGGCAGTGTGAATATTTTGGGGACTGTTACATCTTAAACCACTGCAGCTTAAATCTACCACAACACATTTACCAGAACACTACAGAAGTAAAAGTGGAAACAGGAATAGGATAAATAGGAATAGGAATAATTTATCTCACTTATGGATAGTTTTCCTAGTCTGTCCTTCATCTAGTAGATTTTTTTTGTAGCATTTACAATTTTACAGATATCAACCTGAGGAAATATAGAATTACCAATTGAGGAAATATATTATAGAAAGGTTAATGAAAGGTTTTATTCATAATTGCAATGACCGTGACCTAACAGAGGGCCAAGGAACCTTGCAATTAAAAAAAAAAAAACAACAAACTTTTATTTATCCCATTGCCACAACCCAAAGAAATGTCACCATTAATTATACTGCACATTGATTACTAGAAGTTGTCATGTATCCCCTTTGATGATGCAAGATAGTTGTTATGGCAATGAGATGCTACTAAAAATTCTTTTGTAAGACTTAATTAGGTTATTTGTTTAAGTTGATAGCTTTTTTTTCCTATTCTTTTTTCTTTTCTTTGACTTCTCTCCATTTATTTCTTGTTTTTTAGCTGTTTGCTTTTAAAAGGTTAGGAAAACATCTTTTAATTACTCAAGTACAGACTATTTATGTAAGTTACACTAGACATCTTCCTCTGCTTTTGCTTGTTTTGAAACACTGAATTCCTACCCACTTGGACAGTGCCAATACTATTTCTCCATAGCCAAAAAAGTTATTTCTGTTATACACAGTGATTCAAAATGCGGATCAGATACTGTGTAGACGTGAAGCAGAAAATTCCCATTGAAAACTGTGGCTTGGATATTTCTTTACTATGCCACACAGCAGGATGCCGCTTTCTTTGTTCATAAAAGCATGCACCTATAAAATAATGTATGTAATGTCTGCTGAATATTCTCTTCTATTCATGAAGTTAAAATTAACTTCTTGTTTTAATTGCTTATCAGTTCCATAAGCATAATTCCCATGATTTAAGCTGCTTTCTTAGGGATCTGCTACCTTCCCATATAGAACTTCACATTTTTCTGAATTTTTACTGTTTAAAATGTATATGTATGTAAATTATTATGCATCTGAGCCTTTCACATCAGAGGTAAAGTATAAATACTAAATCAATGTGGAAAACATCATGTCTGCTTTAACTTGACTTGATTATACCTAAATATAACAAAATAAATTAGCATTTTACTCTATTTTTAGTTGTCTTCATTGTATTATACTGTATATTTGTTTAAAGTCTGTAGATTAATAACCTTCCCAACTACTTCCTATAGTTTTATAACAAACTGAAACTTATCTTTAAAAAAAAAAATATCTAATGAGAGATGAGGAAGAAAAAGTCAGATGTCTAATACAGGTATTCCTTAACTGAAGGACGAATATGCCAGCAGTTTTGGAATACGGAGTTTAATGTTTCCCCAGAACAGAGCTACCTATTGCCAATAGTCAATTCAGCACAATTTTTCCTAAAAAACGGCTGACAGGATAAAACTTTCTTTTAATTTAGTTGATATTTTTGCTCATGCTTTTCATAATTTATTATTGATTACTCTTAGATTTATTACCTATATTTTAGCTAACAATTTAGTATTCAAGAGGTTTTAAAAATAAAACAGCTACAAAATGCTGCAACTCGGCAATTGTGCCAAAGACCATTTTTCTTGTCCAGGGACGTGATTGACATAGGAATGTGACTCAGGAAGAAAACATTATTAATATGGAGAAAAGTTATGACTTTTGAATGATGTTGGCTTGCCTTGTAATTCCCTGGGTTATATCTGTATTGCATATTCTGATAAGTGTACATAGTCAGATTCTCTTTACACATTTTAGCTTCTTTAATAATTTTGTTAAATGCAGAAGTGGGGAAAATAAAGACATATTATTAATAAACAAGCAATTAAACAGGTTAGGGCAACAATGCAATGCTGGTCATTCAGGAACCCTGTGCTAATTTTAATTAGCTGCTTTCCCTTGCTTTCAAATGTAATTAAAGCAGCTTAGTTGTGCTCAGTGATGCAAACCACCTTATTTAATCACTAACATTATTTCCCTGAACTATTAATGATTTTCAAAACGCTTGTTTATGCAGAATTAGAACAGTAATTATCTTACCAGTTAATTTTGTACCTTCACATTTCACACCTCGCTCAAACGTCATTCATTTACCACAGCCTTTCTGTCAAAACAAAGAAATGCTTGTTCTAAATGTGCTTCTGACTGCCAAATTGAAAGCCAAGTTTTGTAACACTAATAAAGTAGCTCCCAAGTGAAACAGGTGTAGTAATTTAGACCCTTCCTGTCTCGAGCTTGCACGTACATGCTATGTCTTTTCTTTATTAGCTTTAAAATGAGAGCTTGGTGTGCAAAATAAGCTATTTAATTCAGACTTGTGGAGCAGAATATAATCTTTAATTTAAACTAGAGCAGTAAAAAAAGGCCTTTAATTTTAACTGGCATGTGCGTGTGAATTTGAATTAATAATCCAGAAAATTGAAACTGTTTTGCTGCTGTTGCTGGATAGTGACTGTTCTTCACATGCCCTTAGTTTCACTCACTGTTTCTCTTTCCTAAGTTTTGCCTAGTGCCTATTTTATGATATTGCAGTCTTACAGAAAGAAAAGTATTCTGAAGAATAAATTATCAGTTGATTGAACTCTCGCAAAAATGTAGTGTTGAAAGAAATTCTTCTATCTGTATTAATTCAATTCACAAAAAGAATATAATTGGTGTATTCATTATATCTACTTAGGACAGAGTTTAAATGCACTATGAATTTATACTTCACAAATCATCAGATTTAAATTTTTCTCCTGTTAATTCTTTTAGTGTGAGTTAACAATTAATTGCATACTTACAAGCACAAAATACAACAGCCTTACACCCATTGTGTGATTTTATCCTAACTCTTATAAGAAAGTGGGAAATTATTACCAGGGAAATCAAGCAACTGCCCAACGTCATACAAAAGAAAACCTTTGGCAGAACTAGAAATCAAAAGAAGACAGTTCCATCTTTCAGCTGTTCTGAACAGTCTCTTAGGTCTCCCACATTTATCCCAAGTTGTGCCACGAATGCTAGTGATGAGCGTGTGGCAGTTCTTTTTCAGAAGATGGGTTGTGAACTAGATGGGCAGCCTACAGGGAATCACACCAACTCTTTCTTCTCTAGGGCCACAAATCAGACAAATAAACATCTAGCTATTTAATTCAATTAAGTTCAAAATTTCATCCACAAGACAGGAAAACAGACTAAAACCCCTCCTGTAAATCAGGCCCATTGCTTATATGCTGCATATGTGATAAACAAACATTTGGCAAATCCCTCCTAAAAGAAGGGGACAAAAAAGAATGGATTCGATGTAATGCTTCCACCGCTGACATAATCTAGCAATAGTTTTTGCAGGTAAGGTAATTGCAGACAGAGTATTAGATCTTAGCTTTTAAAGGCTCATTAATGGGATTAAATTTAAACACAAAAGAAGTACATTTGACCTCCAATGGACTGCTTTAAAGCATAAAAATACCCACTGAAGTGAAGGGATGGCAGGACGGACACTTAAGAGCAAAATAGTATTAGTGCCTGTGTTCATTAGAGGCACTGAATCACTGCAGTCAAGATTTTAAATACCACATTGCATTTTGCAAACATTCTTCCTAAATATATTATAAATTATACAGAAGAAAGCACAGACCAATGTGCAAAAGAAACTGTTTTAGTTAAAAAGTCGTATTTCATTTAAAAGGTGGTACATGCAATCTGACAAAGTAGCTATACGTTAGTAAATTTACATGTATTAGATATTTTCCAAAGATTCTATAAATTTGAGGCAGTTAAAATTATTTCAGGAGTTTCGGAATGCCCAAGATCCATGGTCTCCTGGCAACTAGCAATCACATGGCTGGAGAGGTTTTGGCCTACTGTTACAATGCCTTTACATGTTTTGTTGATGATTTATTCAAACCCAGTTTCCAACCTGCTGTTAGCTCCCTCATTGCTTTAATGCAGCTCGTCTACCATTCATAACTGTCAAGAACCAATTCACTGGGACTTGGGCTTATTAAGCCCCCAAACTGCCTGGTGAACATACTCAGTTTTGTGCCTGGGATTGTGAATAAATACTATACTTACCATCTGTTTAAACTGAGCTTTGATGTTTTAACACCACGCGATATTTCTGTCTTGTTATCAGGACACCCAGCCATGAAGTCCAGAGAACTCATGGGGGGCAGCTCAGTGCCAGCTGGCGGCTGTGATACCGACCGCCTCCTCCCTAACAGGGAGAGGGTGCCTTACGGCACTGCTCCTACAGCAAGCTGCCATACACAGAGTGTAAGGCTTACAACGTTATGGAGAGGCAGGAAGGACAGGCTCATCTTCTGCACACAACGCTGCACTTAGAGAAACAGCAACGGCCTGCTTTCCTTAAACAGTGACTTACTACTTTCTTGGAAAGGAAAGAGATTGCTCTGGCAATTAAAGAAGCAATCACGGTGGATATTTACCCTATTGAGGACAATATATCAATTCTCTTGGTCAAACACACCAACTGTATAAATAATATAAAGAGAAAATGGGTTTTGAAAATAAAATATTACTTAACAAGTGCATTTATATTTTAATCTAACTCCGTTAATTCAATAGTTTCCAAAAGGCATATTTGAATTGGAGGCTTTAATAGTTTTTCATGTTGAATAATGTGGTAATAGGATTTTTCTCCATTCCGTACACATAAGGAACATTCTAAAATGTGTTGCCACAATTACACAGCAGCGGTGTGCATGCTATTTAATGTGAGCCTGGGAATAAAGCTGGTTTAAACCATTTGGTTTAAAATAATCATAAATCGCCATTTTAACATAATGATTCCAGTATAGAATGTTTTGCTTTAATTTCAAGGATTCTAGTGGGGAAAACATAACATTCTGAGGACTAATTTAATTTACATTAGGACTACTGTGAAATTCCGGTTCTGACCAAATGGCAATTAAATAAAGCTCAAGGTTTGGTTTTTTGATTGTTTGTTTTTGTTCTGCCACAAATATGTCTCAAAAAGGAAATGATTATAAACATTCATATTTAAAGATGCTAGCAAGAATAATTGGAGAGTCAGAAGGATTTTTCTTGAGTGTTTGCTGATGTTTTGCCCATCTCACCAAGAATTTCAAAGAGGAATAAAATAGCACTCTATCTTCTGGACAGCTTGATGTTTGTCTTTGCTGTCAAGCTAGAAAGGTTGCAATTCCAGTTATATAGAGAAGATTAGAATAATACAGAAATAATAAAATGGAACAATTCCCAATGATAGCCAGTCACATCACACGTTAAGGGGTCTAGACTACTTTGGTACATAGAGACTAACAAACAGGGACCCCATTAACCTTAATGAATCAGGGTTGTTTATTAAGAGCAAATACACTTTCTTACCAGCTCTCCAAATTTTCAAAAAGATGTTAATGCAAATAACTTCTTAAATTATTCAAACTGAATGCAACATCAATTAACTAGTCTACACCTCAAGCTTGATGCTGTAAACACAACAGGTCCCACCGCTTATATTTTGGAGTGGCTAAAACAAGATGACTTTGCATTATAACCAGGAGTCCTTGTGGGAGAAACCCTACAAGAAGTATTGGGACAGTCATGAGACGGAAGTATGAATGTAGGTTTTGCAAAGGAATAGATGCCCTGGAAAATTAATCATCATTTCTATTATACCAGACTGTTTCAGTTCAAACTTATGGCTGCCTTTAAAATAAACACATTAGACCCGATTCTTCAGGCTGATGCATTTGTTTTGTGACAATGTGAAGTCATTAAATTTAGCTAATCTTGAACTGGCAATTATATACAGTGTTCATGCTTTGTCTTACATTAAGTAGAGCTTACTGCTGTTCCAATTTAATTACAATCTTTTGTAAACTTGGGAAAAAGGTAAGAGCACTTTCATCCTTAAGTCTTTTTGCATAGTGACCTATAAAGTCTGTTTGCAGAATTGTGCAGCACTCCTGTGGTCTCTTTCAATGAATTACACTAAATGCTGTTAATTTTTCATTTGCATGAAGCAATTAGGCATTGGTTTACTCTTCCTGGATGTTTACTGATTATTCTGGGACAACATCAACTGGAAGTTCAGGTATAATCAATAGTGGTTAGCTCTATCTACAGTGATAGTGTCTAAGGTTTCATGTAATTGTGGCTGGGAGTTTGGATCCAACTTCTCCTGCTCTTGGCCCTATGGATAAACCCACAGAACCACCTGAGCTGTACTTGCTCGGTACCAAACTGTCCTGCTGGATACATGTCAGTCCATTAATGTCATGTACATCTGGCTTCAAATAACAGGAATGAAATAAAATAAACAAAATGATAAAATAATGGGTAAGTAGCAGCAATTTATAGTCTCCAAATTATTTAAGCATTTCTTATCCAGACTTAACCTGGGAGAAGTAAGCAGCAGTTGAACCAACCAAAGAATGAGAGCAGAGCTCAGTAGATCAACCAGTGCAGCTCCATATTTGAAGCTGGATCTGTTATAAACAAGTGATAATCTGTAAATTTCTGTGTAACTGTTTCTTATAAATTATGTCAATTACATAGCCTCCTTAAACAGCTGCTCCCATCCCCCAATTAGCATTACTGTCTGACAGATTACTTCTCTCCCTTATATATAATACAAATCTCTTTTGTTATACATTAAAGGAACACTTGTTTGCCCTTAGAGAACAAAGGGAACAAGTGGTCACCACCCTATGTGCAACAACTATTTACAGCTGATAATATTCACTGTTCAATCTTTTCTCTGATCGTAAAATCCCATTAGCCCACATTTGTCTTGACCAAAAAACAGGCAAAGCATTGCATCTCAGGTCTCACACTTCAAGGAACAATTTTATCTTCCCGTTGTCATCCAAAATTTTTTAAAGTGTTCTGCTATATCACAGAGTAGAACTGGATCTACGAGGGATCCTGGGGAAGCCTGTTGTGTACATCCCTGAGTTGGAAAACTAAGTGTTACTATCTTTGAGTATTTTAAAATGTTTATGTAACTGCTTTACTTCACTTCTTTCTGTTCATAGTTTCTTACACATGTTATTTAAGCATAAAAAGATGCCATTTTAGAACTTAATTTGCTATTTCAACCACAGAGCAGCTTCTAATTCCTATGTGAAACTGAGGAAAAGGGAAGGG